TGTAGTTTATTTCATCAACATATACATATGTTATTGTTATGCATTTTTAGGCTTAACTTAATATATATCTCTCCTCATTTTTCTTATTTAAATTGATATTTTTTATATTATTATTTTATACTTTTATTACTTTGTTTTGCCTTTATTTCACCTTTACTCTTTCATAATATATTGATGTGTTTATATGTGTCAAAATATAAAGTTGTGTAAGATCTATAATGACATTTTAGATGAAAAGAAAAATTATTTAAAAAAAACATATAGGATGAAAAGTGAATAAAACCACTCATCATGGAGAGATTAATGACTTAATCTATCTTTGTATAACTTTCTTTTGACCTTTTTGTTTTGTTTTTTGTTTTGGCTTTTTTTTCTATTTCAACATATTTTTATTAGAAAAGTTCTATATCAAAATATAAAAGACGCAATTTCTTAGTATTATTCTCCTAGCATTTTGCATTTGCCTTTACTTCATTTGTTAAAATATGAAGTTATGTAAGATTTATTATGACTTTTTAGGTGAAAAGTAAATTATTTTTAAAAAATAGGATGAAAAGTGGATAAAACCATTCATTATAAAGAGATGAATAATTAAGATTTTATGTCAGTAATATAAGAGTTGGTACATGGATTCTAACTGTTATTTCATCTCCTTATCTTTCCTTCTATGTTATATTCTTTATTAGTTACTTGTTACCAAGGTTGCAAAAAGCTCTAAGCGATGGTGGGTGGTTGCCCACAACATAGAGCCTAGAGTGCATAGGCAGTGCTTAAGTGGCTTAGGCAGTTTTTTTTAATAATAATTTTTTGATATGATTATGAGAAAAAAAAAAAGAAGGTAAAACAATTTTAAAAATTATAAAATAAATAAAAAAAATTAAACATTTTTCTATTCATGATTATGTCTAAAGAGTAGAATTTAAGGGAATTACTTAGCATTTAATGTTTTTTTTTTAATATAAATTTTATAATAAATTAAACAACATCATTTCATTAGATTAAAAAATTAATAAAAAGCATTTACTCAAGCGCTTTTGGTGCCATTAAACACACCTAATAGTGCCTAGACGTGCTTAATTGATTTGATTTGGGTGGTGTAAACCGCATTGAATTTTTGCAGTTGAGATGATATCGCCTAGAGTCTAGGATGATACGGGCAGAATGGCACCACCTATAGCCTAGGCACCGCCTAAGTATGCTTTTTACAAAACTACTTGTTGCATCTCATTTACTATTATATATTTTGTTTTACTCTAATTTCCCCTTTTTTCAATTTTTTATATTAGAAATGTTTTTGACTAAAACATAAAAGATACAATTTCTAATTCTTTTTCACTTACATTTACTTCACTTCTCTTATTAATAACTTTTCTTGTAACTAAATGTCTTGGCTTCTCACTCTCTACCCTATAGATTAGTGATTTATTTTTTTGTTATTCTTTCTCCCATTATCATCCCTTCTCTGTTTTTCTTTAGTCATTACTAGCATTGTTATCATCATTATATATCTCTTTGTTTCAACCCTATTTTTTCCCTCTCTTTCTTACTTTCTATATTAGAAATTTTAAAGTCAAAATATAAAATTCTTAGCTTATTATTATTACTGTTCTTTGATACTTTTTTTTACTTGCATTTACTCCATTTTTTATTTGTCTTTTTTAACTCAATCTCTTAATTCCTTATCACAATTTATCACTATATTTATCTCTATGTCATACTTTTGTCATCTTTTCCCTCTCTATATTAGTAATTCTCACTTTTTATTAGTATTGTATTTATTTTTATTATTATTTCTCCCATTATCATTCCATTTCTATTATTATTTTTTTGTCATTCTTTGCATCTCAATATACAATTATTTATATCTTTTTTAAGCCCAAATATTTTTTCTTTCTCTTTCTCTATATTGGAAATATTTTATATCAAAACATAAAATTCAAAGATAGCTTCCTAACAATATTATCTTAATACATTTTCACTTACTTAATCTACTTTTTATTACTTTTCTTGGATTTTATCTCTTATCTTGCTTCTCATATTCTATCATTATATATATTTTTTACCTTACACTTGTATTCACTTTCTCTGTATATATTAGTAATTTATATGTGATGCACTAAAATCACCCTAATAAATGTACTAATCGCTTCAAGTAATATAATAATAAGAAGAGTATCGAACCCACAAGGATTATGTCTAATTAAGTACCAAAATAATTAATCTAAATTTATTTGAACAATTAAGAAGAGGAATAAACTTTAATGAAGAATAAAAAGAAAATAACAATTAAAATAAAGTTAATCAAGATATAAGGTACTAAGTCATTGATTTCACCATAATCAATTAATCTAAATTTTGGATTATCAAATTGTTGAGTGTTATTGTATGAGATGGCAGATTTCTCTAAATTAACTAACTAGTTTTCTCAAATCAAGTTAATCATTTACTAGTTTGTTAAATTAATCATATCTCTATGTAACTTTAAATAAACTAATGAATATTAAATTCTATGGAAACCTCTAGCTTAAGAAGGGGGAGCTCCTAACTCTCTTCTCTTCCCCCACTACCACATGTCAGTTAATTACCTCTCGGTCTCATAGTCTAGCACACGGTTTATATTATTATTGGTCTAACTTATGCAATTCTTTCTCAAGTTCATATATAAATCACTAAATCAATCGAAAGGTGATCATGCTTCCAATGCATTAAATTCAATAATATAAACTCCTCATGCAAATAAATTTAATTGAAAGCATAAAATCACAAAATTTATATTGAATTAATTAGGTTACATCATAGCCCTAGCAATATAAATTAGTTCATAATAAAAATAATAAAATTTGAAATCACAATAATGAACATTCAAATATCAAACAATATATAAAAAGAATCTAAGGAAAAATAAAACCCAATTTGAGAAAATTAAACTTTTTGATTTCCTATTGTTGATGGATCCTCGATCTTGATCTCTAAGAGTATCCAAAAGGGGACTACCACCAGCCTTCACCAGGCTCTTAATTCTGAATTTGAATGGATATTTATAAGGTTTTAGAAACCCTAATTAGAATAAAAGTAGGATTTGAAACAGAATAGAAAACTCGAATGTTGGACACTGAACGTATGGTGCTGACACTCCAAATTACATGTCGACAAAACAGAAAACAAAAAGTTTGATTCTAGATGATTCATGCATGGTGTCGTCATCCCGATTATGTGTCGACACTACACTCGTGTCGAGTTTCTGGCCTCCTTTTGCAATTTCTTCAATGGTGAAATGACAGATCTGTCCTCCAACTTTTGTACAATGAGCACTTAGATCCCAAAACTCAAGATTCATTCATTAAGTCCCAAATAATCGCCCTTCTTCTTGCAATTCAGTCCCTCAACTTTCAAAGGATATTCAATTAATCTCAAAAACTCTTCTTTTATGCATTCAAGTCCTTTTCTGTACAAAGAATGAAAACCATTTAAAACTCAGTAAAATCTCATAAAACTCATCCAAATATCAATAACATCAAGGCAACAATTCTGCATTAATATGTATAAAAATTCAACTTATCAAATTCCCACAAACTTAAGTTTTGCTCGTCCTCGAGTAAAAAAAAAAAAAAAAAAAAAACAAAAGAAACAAAAATAAAACCTAATCACTTTTGTAGAAATCACGATTGCACTTAGCATGTGCACCAAGCCTTTAAACCCCTAGGTCACCCTAGTGGATGAGTTGTGTCTCGTGAGGGTTTTCAACGGATCTACCCACAAAATCCCAATGCAAGAATGCAACTATATGATATGCATGTGCAACTATATGATATGCATGCAAAGAAAATTTAGGAATTAAAGTTTAATTAGATACAAAATCTCAAATATTCAAGAGTTTTCATATACTCACTTAAAGTCAAATACTCATCCTATTCTTCACACCACTTGTTAAAAGATTTAGCCCATGAGCACTTAGTGTGTGTGGAAATTTTTAGTAAGAAGTCTCAAGTTTAGACCTTCGCACCTTAATACTTATTATTATTTTTTTATATTTCTTCCCCCCCCCCTTTTTTTTTCATACGTCGAGTTTCCTTAGGCTTTCTAAGTTATCCATGTAACGAGCTTTTTGTCAATGACTTCCAAATCAGTTGGCTTTAGGGTATTAAGTGAAGAGACACCCCTAAGAACATACTTACTCAAGTAACAAAGGCCACGAAACATTCAACTTCTTTTTCTTTTTTTTTTTCTTTTTTCTTTTTACAGCCATACAACACATTCTTCCCTAAGCTATCACTTGTCTTTTGACGTGAATACTAACATTTATGATGAAAGCACCCGGTTACTCAATAAGTCATAAACTCAAAGTGCTTTGCATACTCATATTTCAAGTTACTGTTTGATGTGAAAGTTGACATAGGTCTCATGCCTAACCCCCAGTTACTAAGCAACTAAAAACATTGGAGTAGAAATTAATAAACTCTTTTGTATTGGCTTCTTTTTCTTCTTCTTCTTCTT